TACAGTAGGAAGGAAAAGGAGCTTTTTATGATGCCGTATTATTTTATTAATGATTCATAGATTTGCAACCAAAGATGTCCCTGAATAGACAGACAACCAGACTTTTTCCAGGCATGGTTCATATTGAGTGGCAAGTGTACAATTAATTGCCTGTGTTATTTTGATCTCAAATATTCAACTTTCAAGTAAGATAAACAAATTGTGATTCTAGTTGTTTGGGAGAGGGATTGATTTTTATTACTAGCAGATTTAGAATATATTGCAAGGCCACACCAACTTACTAGTAATTTGTTGTTTCTCGGATTCACCTCGTCATTTTTTTCTGATTTGTAAAAAAAAAAAAAAGAAGAAAAGATTCTGGTTCTGAATCAACTCAAAAATGCTCATATTTTGCCCCCAACAGTTGAGGAAAGATCTTTTCTTCCCAGATGTTACAATTTTTCCATCTATCAATGCAGTGGTTTGATTAAAAGTTCAAAATTCGTTGTTTAAATATTAACCCAGCTTTTGTCTTGTCTTCATGGTAGCATTTGGGGCTATAAATAGGATGTTTAGACCTGTTTTCATTCTTACTTTTTTTGCCCTTTTGCTTCATATTTTTTCTGGAAAAATCCGAGAACCAACAAATTATTGGTGAAGAGTTTACTAAAAATTTCTACTATAGCCCAGTCTTTGAATGCTAAATTTTTGGTGCAGCAGAGTTTAAGAAAGTGGAATAAACAGTAAAATTTCTAACCCTGAAGCTATATTAGATTGATAAAGAATGTGTCATTTGGGGTCACATGTATCATCCATACTAGGTAAGGTTATATGGCTAATGAAGTCTGCTGGGTCAGGGTTATGAATTATTAATTAATAATTGATCACCCTGACACCTTTTCCCATAGGCAGCAAAAAGGAATTTCATCAGCAAAATGATCAAAATGTTTCTTGCTTATTGGAGACAGTTTTTTTCCGCCTTTGTTATAGCTTCATTTTAAAGTTATATTTTCATTTTTTTGACAGATTTATGAAGCTTTTGCCCACAAAAAACACCCCTACACTGGTTGAAACACAGTGTAGGGGGCTAAAAATAAATCACAGCGTAGGGGGTCCAAATCACAGCATAGGGGGCCCTACACTCAAACAGCCTGGTGAGAACTATGCAGATTTAAAATCAATTCCTACAGACACTGAGTACACCTGTAGTACTGTAGTACATCGTTACATTTGCCTGATGTCTTTATCATTATTCCAACCTGTCTCCTAGAGGCCTACAGGTCATTTGTTATCAATCTAAGCCAACCTCGGGGACTCCACCTCACCAACCTGGATTAGATAAGGTCGCATTATGAGTGCTAGATAGGAGTGTTACAAATAGCCACCCTTGTTTAGTTTAAAGCTGCATTATGTAACAATTACAAAGATAGAAAAAGGAAATTTTCTGGTCATTTCTTTATATTTAAAGTAATTTGAACCCTACTAAATTGTAAATAAGTGCCATTCAGAAAGTGGAGGTACCAAAATATGATGCCTTATACAAGTGTGTTTAAAAGCTGGAAACACAGCTGTCAGTCATGTTTGTTTACTTTTGATACTTTGTGGTGGCACCAAAAACTAGGTGTGCCTTGTTTGGGCTGTTTTAGCAACAACCATAAATGTCAGAAATGTAATTGCACAAATGCAGTATGTTAAAATGTGGGAGTAAATTACAATCACACAAAAATTTCTTTATTTAAAGATGCCATAAAATGTTATTTTAATTTTCAGAAATGTTACATAATGCTCCTCAGCAGTATTATTAGTGTGAATTATGTTAGAACGTTTTACTTGGGATATTGGCAGGGGCATATATAATATAGCAAAAGGTTGACATTATGTAATCTATAATGTATAATTAATATGGATGTCCTGTTCTAATCAATGAAAATTGCTACTTTTCTGATATTACAGTTGATTCACAACCTTTTGAGCTAGAGGGAAAAGAGCATTTGACAGACATAACATGTTTGATGGATATTAATATTTATCATACTAAATACATAGAAAGGATACACCTTTATTAGACAAGACTTAACTACATCATATAGATTGCCTTATTATGTTTACAGAAGGAAAATGTTGTTTTTGCTATGTTTCCTCCTCTTCTTCTTTTCCAAACACTGACCTCTGACCTGGTCAATGACCTGAGTTGTTGACATCTTTCACCATGGTAACTGGTGTTGGGTTACATGATGTTGCAACTTTATAGCAGGAGGGATTTATACTCCTCTCTGACCATCTATATGAATGTATTTTTAAAAGTAAGAATTAACAGAACAGACTGTATTCAAAAGGTAAACATTATGCATTTGCTAAAAATGCAAATGTTACCTAGTTTCTAGTTCAGAATATTTCCAGTTTTGCTGCCCTGAAATTGCATTTGATGCCTTTAAGAGATAACTAATTCACAGCACGTAGGCAATAGCTGGCATGATTCATGGACCAGTGCCCTGGAGTATGGGGTTCTCCATAATAACATTACACCATCAAGACACGATGATGGTACCAGTGGAGGTGGAGATAACCACTGTGGGGATGTTACAGGCAGTCCCCTGGCACACGGATCTAAGAAAGGAATCCCACAGTATCATCTTTTTCAATTCAATCACAGAGATGTAAATAGCCGGAATGTCACTGGAGTCCGTATTACATTCAGGGCTGAAAATACATTGTACCAGGGCTCGACGTATACATGTTAGTCAGTGTGCAAAATACCTGGTTGCCCAGTTGCCCCGGGCAACCAAATTTTACTTGGGGCAACCTATTTTTGAACCTAGGTAGCCCAGTGTGCTACCTGAATTTTAAGAATGCCCCCACCCCCCAATTCATGCCCACTTGGCTTGCACCACTGTATCCGACAGATGCTTTTTAATTTTAGGTAATAGCTATTACTAGTATCAGTTAACTAAAAGCTGTTAGAAATATTGTCAAAGGCTTATGTATGTAACATTACTTAATTTGAGGAAAGTAGTAACTTATAGGTGGGGCAACCTAAAATGCTGATGTGCAACCTAATTTTTGCCGTATGTTGCCCACTGGGCAACCTGGCTCAAAAAAAGTATTTTGTACACTGTTAGTGCAGGTGAAATTGGAGCTAAGGTATTTTGAGCCCTGATACATAAATGCTGGCAAACGTGATGTAGTATAATTTGTACAGGATATTAGTAAAGGTTGGATATTTGACCTGTCTCTTACAGTTGTGTGTCTACCATATCATATTGTGTAGCAGAATAATTGTATTGTGAATGTGATACACACACGATGTACAAATCATGCACGCAATTATCCCACACCACCTGAACCAATTTCTTAAGTCAACCATCTCCACCCACACACTTGGAACTAAGTAAGGCCTAGGAAAAACTTGTTGTGTTTCCTGTTTCAGTCTGGAAAAAATTAGGGTCAATAGGTAGGCCCGATTATCCTTTTTTTTCTTTCTTTTTTTTCGACTTTTTTCGAGTGACCCAAGTTATATACAGTACATTTTAAGAAATAAGACTGACAATGGCATGAGGGCACTTTCATTTTCAATGTCAATGTTCGAAAATTGATTTTTATGCAAATCAGTAAAAAATGAAAATGGCAAATCTGAGAACCAATATTTAATTATTATTGACTAAATTGGTATGGCCTATTGTAATCTTTTCAAATTTCTACATTTTCTATATAACCTTTATATCCCAATAATTTTCTGTATAAAATAGAAATAAACAAACATTTAATTCATAGTGTTGTTTAGTACTAAATAGGTTCAAAATATATAGCATAGACACATATAGTGGTATAACTTTTCAGTTAGTATTCAGCATATACATTGTAGATATTTCTGTAATGTTGTATACTTTCGGTTGAATTTCTTTGCAAATCTAGACCTGTGTCCACATGTACACTGCCCGATACTGTATAATAAATTCCACACTGGATTTAACCATCCATATGTAGCAGAATGATACAGTAGAATGACCGCTGGGCCTTGTTATCGCAGCCCAAAGTCAACCTTTCATATGGAAAACCCACCTTTTATGTCTCCTATGGATCACCCTGCATGCCCAGACATGCTAGGGTCCTTCTCAAAAGGTGTTCTGGAGCAAAAACTTGTCATAAAAGAAGATGGAGCGAAATATAGATGAATAAAGATTATGTGCTTTTTCAAGGGGTTTTATGTATGAAAGTATCCCAAGGGCAGAGTGGATGGTCTGGAGCTTTGTGACAACATTGAAAGTTCGGGGCTAGCGCTGCACGTATGTGAGGATTTTGCAGAAAGCCTGATGTATCAGAGAACTTTTTTAAAGGTTTTATATCTGTGAGAGTGTGACTGAAAGTAGCTACCTTTATATGGAAAGATTTCGCAAATAGAGAATGGGAGATAGGGAATATTAGGACTAGGAGATAGGGAAATACAGTTTTATAAAGCTTGCAGCTTTAGAAGACGTAAAAGAAAAAACAGCAATGGCTACTAAACAGTTTTTAGTATGATCCACACTTCCTAAATTCTGAGTGGTGCAGGTAAAATTTGTCTGGTGCAGATGATTTTGAATGTTATTCGCTGCAATATTTTGAGTCTAGTGCTGCGTACCGGTTCACTGGGCTTGGATCCGGACTACCTGTAATAATGTTTAGGTTCAAGTCCAAAAAAACCTAAAAGTCAAGAATCGAGTCCGGACTTATTACCATAAAAGACCATTTCACATACCCCTTTTCTTTCCAAACCACCTAAAACCTTCCGTAGATTGCAAAATCTTTGCTGCAAAATGAAGAAAACATTACCATTGGGCATTGTGACAAGTACTGGCCTCCATGTTATGTAGTCCGGAACTGAACCTAAACCTCTAGACTTGAATCCGGACCTGAACCTAAATGTGGGTATGCAGCACTATTTCAGTCTACTAGTTTTAAAAGTTCGGCTGACACTGTCTTCCTAAGTTGTTTGAAACCTGACGATAGTTTCATGTTTGTTTGTTTGTTTGTTTATTTTCCAGGTGATAAGACCCTGGATGGATACAGTAAGAAGAAGTATGTGTGTAAACTGCTCTTCATTTTCCTGCTGGGACATGACATTGACTTTGGGCACATGGAGGCCGTCAACCTCCTGTCTTCCAACAAGTACACCGAGAAACAGATCGTAAGTCAATGTTTGTTGTGTTTTACCCTGTATATTACTGCTCTAGCCAGCACCTGTTTTTTCTAACTCTAGACATTGTTTAAAGCTATCTAATGACAATGCCCCTACTGTACTTGGTGACAGCGAGTTCCACTCTGCGATAGTTCTAGGAAGGAAGGAATTCTTGAACACCTCAATCCTTGGTTGATAACTCTGGTACTTGAAAGCATGGCTATTTCTTCTTCTCTTCTGGGCTGGTATTAGGTACTTAGTAGTTGGGACGTTCACCAGTTTATTAGTCATTTTGTACATCATGCATACTCTCATGTCCCGAATAAACATACCCCCCGGAATAAACATACCCCCCGGACAAATCTTCAAAGTCTAATAAACATACCCCCCGGAATAAACATACCCCCCGGACAAATCTTCAAAGTCTAATAAACATACCCTCCGGAATAAATGTACCCCCCGGAAAATGACCAAATTGACAGGTGAACGGTACTAAAATGTGCTCTTTTATGTATGGGCAAATGTTTCATTATTACTTTTGATTAGGAATATAAATATACTGTACTAGTACTTGTTGTTGGGAAATACAACATCATTACAATGTAATAAAAGAAGGCTGTCTATGTAATACTTTACCTCAACAAACGTTTTCCGCTACGTAACCGTGGCAATTACAACACAATCCCTTAGTACACGGCCTAAATCTCTTTTTACTTTTTGCAACTCTTCTCTGAAATGAATATTAACTTTGGCACCAATTTTTTGAGGGTCAAATTTTGAAAAAAATTTCATCTTTGTTACAGTTTTTTAAGGTTTAATGCCAAAATTAATTTACAAATTCATGAAGGGTCATAATAAATGGAGTTAATTATGCTTGGTACAGGTCTTGAGCAAAATACTCAGTCACTCAGAGACTCTGTGTAGAGCCATTCCATTCACTGTTGTAACTTTGCGACATCAAAATTGGCCCAAGCCTCAGCACACTTCAAAGGGTTTCTTTTATCTGTCAACATTATGCGCAATATGCAACATCAGCAGCCAACAAGAGGTTCTTTGGTAAATATGCTGTGCTTCCCCGTGTCATTGGTAAATTATATTGGTAAAATGGTAGAATTACTTGATAATGAGCTATATTACCGACGGAATCAAGAACATTCTTAGGGAAAACATCGTAAAAACTGGCTTCTGTGCAGCTGTGTCAATTTCTAACATGTGTTGCATGCGCACCATCTTGGAAGAGTTTATTCTGTAAGCAGGGGGAAAGTTTCTTGGAAATACTTCAAACATTTGTCAAATGATTAAAAACATGATATTGTCCAGGAACAGCATGGCATAATTACATGCTAATGCTTAGATTTTGAATTTAAAATCGTATCGACAGATGTTGAAAGGTAGACAACATTACATTTGAGACATCGTGGTCCCTCGAAATGAACTTATCCAAGCATGCGGCGGCCCGTCCTGTCCTGTTAGCACTGTTTAATTTTTCGGTACATTTCTCCATGCAAGACGATACAGCCAAAAAAATGGACATGTTTGGACAACAATAAAGGATGTATGCTGTTGAGTGGCGTACATAATGGCACCCAGGTTTCTGGGAAAAGAGCTTTATTTACGCCCGTCATGTGCCATGTGGCCCGCACGCATGAGGGGAGGGCAGGTCGGTACAAGTTCTCACTTCGGTCCTTGTTTACGTCGCAGAATTTGGGTATTTCTGCTAGTTTTTAGGTGTAATTGGTAGGAAATCTCAAAGACTAGGTACTGAGGTAAGTGATAATGTTTGTTTCCGAGTACTGAGCTTTGTACATACAGGCAAAACTTAGCGGGCCGCTCCCGACTGCCTGACAGTCACGCCCCCCTACATGTATGTCACGCCCGTCTATCGCCGCCAATTTGTGGGGTTTGATTAATTAACTCACAGCAGGTTGTGAATCACTTCTTTGTTACTTGTAACTGCGTTCTATGATATGTTCATTGTGGCGAGAGCAAAGACATTATTTTTATCAAGTTTAAAGCAAGGATTATTACGACGGTAGCCGAGATCAAAAGGGTGAAAATCAACTGAAAATCCCGCTACGCTGGTCGGAAACACAGCATAGCGGCAAAATTACAGCGTAGCGGAACAAATTCACAGCATAGGGGCCCGCTATGCTGAAAAGGCTTCACGTCTAAAATTTGTTAAATTTTTAATGCCTTTCTGAATACAGCTGTCAGGTATGGACAATTTTTTTCAAAAACCGATTTTCCAAAAATTTATAAACGTACCGTCCCTAATAAGAACGTACCGGGTGGACGTACGGGCCGAAAAAAATAAACGTACCGGTACGTTTAATCGGGACATGAGAGTAGTCTGGACATTTTTCTTCTGTCTTCCAGTGACACCCACTGTAGGTTTCTTTTCATTTCCGTGACACTAGCACCCCTTTTATATATATCAACTAATTTTATCCCTCTCTTCTCTGCAAAGACAAAGTTAAAGATGAGTACCATTTTGTAATGACATGCCAAAGGAAAAAACTAATGATGTCATGTAAGAGTAAAATAACACTACATGGAACAAGTAGAGAAATGTTCAACATGTTGTTATCATGCCCCGACTCTGTGTCTGTTTATCTAGGCCAATATGTACATAATGCTTTACAAACGAGAAACAATGTCACTGCAATGTGAAATGTAACAGTCCATTATAACATATATACATGTATTGAAGTTAGATTAGAATACTAGTAGAAATTGTTTATAGTTATTTTATTTGCCATACATTGTATCCAATGCAGATCCAATGCAATTGTTGCACAATAAACTTGACTTTTACTTTTTACTTCTCTGTAGGGTTATCTGTTTATCTCCGTGCTGGTCAACACCAACAGTGACCTGATCCGTCTGATTATCGGCTCCATCAAGAACGACCTCCTGTCCCGTAACGCTGTCCACATCTGCCTGGCCCTGCAGTGTATCGCCAACATCGGCAGTAAGGAGATGGCCGAGTCACTCGCCCCCGAGATCCCCAAACTCATCGTGTCAGGGTCAGTATTCCGTTAAGTTCAGACAGCGGTCTCCCCAGAAATTTTTAGGGGAGAGGTGCTGCCAAATTGGATGATGTCATGAAAAAAATTCAGCAAATTTTCATGAAAATACTAAAGGAATACCCCAAAATTTGTAGTCTCTATCTGGCTTCGAGATACGGCTGGAAAGAGAAGAATTTGGTCAAATAGAGAGGTAACATGTTGGTCTGTTAGACTGAGTACATGTTGCCGCTCCCAAAGCCTGTCAGGGTTCGCTATGATGAAACAGTATAAAAGTAATCCCCTCATTATTCCAACAAAAGAACTATCTGAGTGCTGAAGATCATTTAAGCAATAAACCAACCAGCACGCCGTGTGGAGCTGCGTCCATGTGTGTATACATCTAGAGAAGACAGCAAGCCGTACAGTGGCTGACCAAACTGTATATACTTATACCGTCTATACTGATATAGATACAGATTCTGAAGCTGATTTCTAAGGGGGCACAGGGGAAACAAGACACGTCATGTTAACTTATATTCAGTGTGATGGAGACAAAATTTAGTATTAAAAAAATATATTGTCCATACCTGAAATTCTTAGTGTTAAACTTAAAGATGTTGAAATGTTATCATTTTAGGGAGACCATTGACGCGGTGAAGCAGAGCGCCTGCCTGTGTCTGCTGCGGCTCTTCCGCACATCGCCCGACACCGTGCCATCCGGCGAATGGACGCAGAGGGTCGGCCATCTTCTCAACGACCAACATCTGGTCAGTATACAATTTTTTTTTCAGTTCTGGGTATTGGAAGTATTGTTTGTGATGTGTTTGTCTACATGTGTGTGTTTTGGCTTGTCTGTTGGTATTCAGTAGAGTGGCAGAAGGGGGGGGAGAGATTTTGTTACCACAGATTGACCTTAAGGTCAAGTTGGCAGGCTGGGAGGAAGTGAGTCCACTCACACTGTTACTGGCAGTACAAGAACATAGAGGGTGTGTCAAAATGAGGTCTTAGCCTGCAAGAACTTAGTATTTATATTCATTTGTGAGTACACTGAGAATCTCTATTAACTTCCCTTCCCATGCGCTTTACACACAGTATTTATCATGCCTATTTCTCAATCCAAAGTTGTGTAAATCTTGACACTGTTTAAATCTCAATTGTCAACCGTGTGCAGTAATAAGCTGCAATCGCGTGTTGCTATCCATAAAGCATAACCACACATGATTAAATGTGCATCTGCATGTGTTTTACGCGAGAAATAAACACAGTTTAAAAGAGGCTGGCACTGATTTTACACACATTCTAAATAAATCAAGAAATGCGGGGTTTTTGATTGTGTTTTGTACAACCTTTATTTGCGATTTACGTGTAGATGGAAAGTTATTTGACAGCTGTGCTGCATATTGCACATGGTAATATGAATGGCTAACATTACCTTTGCCTAACTCTAGGGTGTAGTAACAGCTGCCACCAGTCTGATCCACACTCTGGCACAGAAGACCCCGGAGGACTTCAAGAATTGTGTTTCCCTGGCCATCTCTCGACTCAGTAGGGTAAGACTACTCTCCAGTAGTATCTAAGCAGGTTTTCCTTTAAAATATCTAATCTATCTAAAACAGGTGTGTTGGAGAATAAGAAGGTACCTTGGTATCAGTAGCAAACTAATATTTATACAAAAGCCATACTGTTATAACCAAACCATACTGTTATAATCAAAGTTATAGTCAAAGATAGCAACTCTAGTCACTTTTAATTGCGTTTATGCGAATAGATTTAGTGAACATGCTAAATGCCAGGCGTATCTTTGACAGTGATGTTAGCAGTTAAATGCAGTTGATTTTTTTGCAAAGCTGTACCATTTTGAAAGATCGATAAGAGAGGAATGTAAAGAGGAATCATCCATGTCTCTGCCTATCCCTCCCCAGATTGTGACCTCATCATACACAGACCTCCAGGACTACACCTACTACTTTGTCCCTGCCCCCTGGCTGTCAGTAAAGCTACTCAGGCTGCTGCAAGTCTACCCACCACCAGGTCTGTACAGGGGCACTTCTGGTTTCTTATACTCAATAATACGTCTAAGGAAATACCGCATCGATTTCTTGGAATGATTTTTATGTCACTTCTTTTCTAACTTGTCCTGACTTTGCAATGGTGAAAATATGTCGACCTTGTAACAAGTGTTTTCCTTTTCAAACTTCAAATTTATAGCTCTCTGAGACACTCCTGATCAATCTGTATATTGTTTCTCAAAGCACTGGATAGAATTTGATAACTGTTAGAGGTTTCAAGCAGCATGCAATACTGTATCTCACTGTATCTCACTGTATCTCATGACCTACATGTTGTAAATGTCTAACTTTCATCGACATATCCCTGAAACACTATTTACTGCTCTTTAGAAGACAATTTTGTTGAGACCAATTGTTAACTTTCTAAAAAAATTTATGAAGGGTCATAGGGTTCTCCCTAGTAAGAAATGTTGCTACATTAGTTGAAAGACAGTGTAGGGGTCTAAATCATAGCATAGGGGGTGTAAGGCTCACTATAGACTAGAAATGCTTAAATGCATGGTTTCGGGGTGGAAAAACGTTTCTGATGGGCTAACCATTCCCAGTCTAAGGCCACACCAATTTAATTTGTTGGTTCTCGGATTCGCCTCTTTGTTTTTTTCTGATTTGCAAAAAAAAAAAAATTGATTCTGGTCCTGAATCAACTGAAAAATGCTCATGTTTTGCCCCCAACAGTTGAGGAAAGTCCTTTTCTTCCTAGTTGTTACAGTTTTCCCATCTATCATTGCAGTGGTTTGATTAAAAGTTCAAAATTCAATGTTTAAATTTTAACCCAGCCTTTTGCGTTGACTTCATGGCTCATTTTGTAGCATTTAAGCCTATAATAGGATGCCTAGACCTGTTTTTATTTTATTTTTTTTTGCCCTGTCGCTTCATATTTTTTCTGAAAAAATCCGAGAACCAACAAATTAAATTGGTGTGGCCTAAAGGCGAAAAAACGGTATTTTATGGACTTTTATAAAATGTTTCTGAAACCACCTCCACTGTTGTTCTGAAACACTTCAGTGGGGGGCCTGAAACCCTCTAAAGAGAAATTACCGTTTTTGGTGGCAAAGGGTTTTATAAAGGGTTTTGGGGTGGTATAGCATTTCTAGTCTAAAGTGAGCCTAAATCACAGCAAAGTGGGCCAAAATTAAATGAGGGGGGAGCAAAATTACAGCATAGGGGCCACCATGTTCAAACTATGCTCACTGTAACACTGACATGATTTCACAGAGGACCCAGCGGCACGTGGTCGGCTGAACGAGTGTCTGGAGACCATCCTGAACAAGGCCCAGGAACCTCCCAAGTCTAAGAAGGTGCAGCACTCCAACGCTAAGAACGCTGTGCTGTTTGAGGCCATCAACCTTATTATTCACCATGACACGTGAGTTTTGTTTTTATTTTTACCTTTGTAGAAGGAAAACTTATTGTCTGTTTCTTCTTCTCCAAACATGTAAGATCAATGACCTGGACCAGACAACTGTCACCATGGTAACTGGTACTGTAACTGTCACCATGGTAACTGGTACTGTAGCAGACAACCTGTAGTGTTGGATTATATTATGTAGCAAGTTGCAGAATATAGCTGGAGGGGCCGGTCACCATATATGATTATTATGAATGTACTGTATGAAGAATAAACAACAGTAGTTTGTTAGGCTAGACCATGTGAAGGTAAACATAATGTATTTGGTTTCTTTTGTCGGTACAGGTACAATGTAGGTAGGTATCTGTATATGCATAGCTGGTATAACCGCCCTTTGGCGTAACACACCAGCTTCGCAGGCACACGGCACGGCGGTAGATGGCTACATTATACTGAATGACTTGTTACACCTAACCCTTGAACATATAACTCTAAACATTGTTTAAAGCTATCTACTAGTAATGATAATGCCCCTACTGTACTTGGTGACAGCGAGTTCCACTCTGCGATAGTAGAGCGTAGTCAGCCGTTTTAATTCTACGTAGAGCGTAGACGGACCGCTGTAATTCGTAGAGCGTAATTGGCGCATTTTACGTTACGTAGAGTGTATTCGCCGTTTTAGTGGGTCTGTGGAACCCCCGGGATCACGGCGGGTAATTAGCTGCCGGGTGTCTGGTCCCTGTCACCGCGTGGCTTCAGTCTGTCGCCACGCGCTCAGGTAATGCGTTGTGGCCACTTGGAATTTATCGTTAAGCGTAATCGAGAAGTTTCCGAATGCAGCGTAGAGTGTTGTCGGGACCCTTGCAAGCCCCCCTTAATCGTCCCAGAGATAGAGAACACACGTGTATGATTACTTAACCTGACCCGCCATGTCTTCATGTTCCCACAGAGAACCCACCCTGTTGGTGCGTGCGTGTAACCAGCTGGGCCAGTTCTTGCAGCACAGAGAGACTAACCTGCGGTACCTGGCCCTGGAGAGCATGTGTCTGCTGGCCTCCTCCGAGTTCTCACACGAGGCAGTCAAGAAACACATGGACACGGTCATCACCGCACTCAAGGTACAGAAACTATTGCCTTAACTTCTCAAGTCTGTGTTTGCAAGTAGATATTTCTGGTGTTGTTTCATCTCATATCCCAGTGTTCTAGCCAGCCTGACATGTTTTTCTCTCATCTCAATTTCATTTCATCTATGAGTGCAACAATCGTTAATTTCAAACAAGATTTAATTATCAGCACCCTTTAACTACAAATGTACATGTAAGTCTGAACCTGCAAATGTACAGAAATTATGGAACTGATGAAAAATACAGATGTCTTCAGAACATGGTGATATAGTAACTACACTCTTTTTTAAATAAATCATTCTTGTTATTAATTTTGACCAGATTTTGACAAACACAGATAAATAAAACCAAGGAAACAATGAGTATAATGTATAACTCCCAGAAATCTAAAATCTGATTTTTTTATAAATCATACTTTTTATTAATTTTCACAAACACAAAACAAACATACAGAGAAACTACTACTGAAGGGACATTTTGAACACCAAAAAACAGGTAAATAAAACCAGAAAACAAAGAGGATAACGTATACCCTGGAATACTTCCCAGAAATCTGAAATCTGACTTTTTGTTGACTAAATAACGGCCGTGTCTTGTTCCCAGACTGAGCGTGACGTGAGCGTACGACAGCGAGCTGTAGATCTGCTGTACGGGATGTGTGACAAGTCCAACGCTGAGGAGATCGTGGCCGAGATGCTGGCCTACCTGGAGACGGCCGACTACTCCATCAGAGAGGAAATGGTGAGAAGTTTATTTTGTTTATTTGTTTATTTACCATTTGCATGTATATTACAAAAATTACACAATCAAATAGTTAACAATCAAATAATATGCGGGGTAGGCCAGAAACCTAGGTGGTTTTTAAAGGGCCTACCCCAAACAAAGGTAACTTATGACAAACATATTTAAATTGAACATCATAATTAAACAATGAAATATTTGATTAATTAAACAAAATCAAGACATAGAAATAATAACTGAAGTGTGTAAACTAACTAAAAAGAAATTAAACAAAAGTCTTGTACATGTAATTCAGGTAGCTGTTACAGAGTAAACTGATTAGATAATTAACATAAAAATTAAGGATTAAAACAAAATATTGAAAATAACAAGGAAAACAAACAAATCAGATTGTAGTTGTACTGGGGTTTTGTAAGAAAGAGTTTTAAGAAGTTTTTTAAACACAGGAATTGACTGGCAGTTTTTTAGCAGTTGGCTTAACTTATTCCAGACGATGGGGCCTCTATACGCTATTGAGAATTGTTCCAGAAGTCACTTAAAAGGCACCCAAAACTAGAAAGGCTGGAGCAAATTCAGCATGGCTTCACCAAATTTTACGACATGGCAGGAAAAGAAGGAGAATACAAGGGAAAACAATGTTTTACATCAAATTATATAACCATAGTATGAAGTGACATATAACTACGAGTACAACAGTTGGATAGCTAATCCTCTACATTATTGATTAGAATTCCTATTTGCATAATGCAAACTGTTGATTTTCAAGAAAAGCGTTTATGCCCTGCATTCCAATGCTTGAGCAAGATAGTTTGACATACCTACCAAAACACTTCAATGCTGTACCTACTTTCAATATGGTATGCAGCTGTTCATGGAGTTAACCCAGTTAATCCCAACAGCCAATCAGCAAGAAGAGTAAAGGAAAGCTGCATGCCTATTGGTTCTTGCTGTGCATGCCAAACTGATGACAGACAAATTTCCTCATTGTCCTCACCCAGAATATTTCTTGTGTTGCTCTCCTGATATAACATTTGATGCCTTTAATAGTTGCAATACATCTCGAAGAAAGTATAATTTCCAGATACTGTTAAGATCAGATATGAAGGTATGAAAAGGCCTGTGAGTGTGAGCAGTCATGTAAAACTAATGGTAGGGCCAGGTATCAGGGCAACCAGTAAAGTGTTTTATATATAGACAGTTGCCTGTAGAAGCAATGCAATGTAGCTAAGTGCATTTTCCAATAGGACTCGAAATCCTTTTTTTCTGCACTGGTGCAAGTGACATTAAACGTTGCCTGCTCCAGACAAATTTTACCTGTACAGCTCAGAATTTAGGAAGTACACGTATGGATCATACTGAAAACTGTTCAGAAACTATAGCACTAACAGGCCTGTTAGGGCTCGAATTACTGGGTACATGTGCACCTTAGTGCACCCAAATTTGGAGCTGTGCACCCAATTTTTCTTCGTAGGTACATCAGTGCACCCAAATATTTTTGAAATTCTTAGATTTAATGTAATACAATGTATACATGTAAAGATGTTAAATAATATATAGTAGTTACAGCATGTTGTTTTTTAACATCCAAGTATCAGAAAAAATAATGCGATCATTTTTATAGCTCTTTTCGTGAAATTTAACATAATTATCCTTTTTGCTGACATTCTACTTATTTTATCTTATCTGGTGCACCTAAAATTTTTTTATGCACCCAGTTTTTTAGGTTGGGTGAACCTATTCCCTAAAATGAATTTCGAGCCCTGACTAATTATATAAGGTGCATATGCACCCCTTATTTCAAGCCCTGCATGTCTATAGAGTTCCTATTCTGTTACAGTAATCAAGTCTCAGGATAGTTCCAAAGAAATCAGTTAAGAAGGGGCACCAGACAGTAATACAAGTGTTAGTCAACGTTTAGCATCTGGTAGATTTCTTGCCCATCATTATAGATCCATTTACAGCATAAAAAGCACCTGATGTCCTCTCTTAATGCAGTGTCCTCTTTAACAGTAACATGTCTAGACGTGAGTACAGTTAAAACGTCCCAAGACCACCCAGTGGACGATAAAATCTGGTCTATGTGGACAGGTGGTCACTATAATCAGGATTCTTTTATAATGCTTGTGGCAATGGGGAAAATTGGCAAAGGGACCACCAAAAGGCAGTGGTCGTATTTGCCAGGTGGTCCTTATGTAAAGGTGGTCACTTGTACATTTTGACTGTATATCAGTGGCCAGGTGGTCTTTATGCAGAGGTGGTCACTTGTACAGGTTTAATTGTATGCCCAATAGATGAAAATAATCTACATTGTAATCTCTGCTGTAATTTCTAGCAGACAAAATTAAGCTCTCAAAAACAGTGATTAACAGTACTGTATTATCTGTCCATGTGTACAGGTGTTGAAGGTGGCCATCTTGGCAGAAAAGTACCCCGTTGACTACACCTGGTACGTGGACACCATCCTGAACCTGATCCGAATTGCTGGAGACTACGTCAGTGACGAGGTAAGTACAGGAATAGTCTTTTTTTGTCTTTTTTTTTTTTTTGCTGCGTCAATTTTTAAAAATGGGTGATACTGCTGAACTTCTTAGGGTTACTTTGTCTGAAACTTTGTCTGACTTTACTATGCAACAACAGGATGGTACAGTTCCTGTACAAATTGAATTTGAGCTCAAAATTAAAAATATTAGAGAAAAAGATAGAGATAAACTATGAGCTATGTTGATGTGGAAGAAGATGATGTATATTATTATGCAAAACTCTCTCTCTATCCGGTTTATCACTACATTGTAGTTCCCCGTAACAAGGGTTAGACGTGCTTGCACTCTGATGCTGGGGCTTGATGGTATCTCGCCATTTGTCCTGTGGTTCTTTGCACTGCAAATTTCAATATCCCTGCGGGTTAGAGTCACGGCAACTTCACCAGCCAGCCACACAGTGTCCCAACATTAGGTGATGTACAGGATTGGATGCTCCTTTAGTATGGCACATTCCAGGGATGGTACAGGGTATATCGCTGTTACTCCTGTTACAGTTCTTAGGCTTCTGGTGTGCCTTTGGGCTCCTCAACATCCTGTGCAAGACTTGGGTTTGAAGCAAGGTTTTTACCTGGCTCACCCCTCATTATTGTCTTCCCCCTGCCATGTTTCAGGTGTGGTTCCGTGTCATCCAGATTGTCATCAACAGGGACGATGTGCAAGGGTATGCTGCAAAGGTCGTGTTTGAGGTGAGCAACAGGCTTTCTTAAATAATATGTCTCCACAATTTTTCACCCATGTCGATTAGTCATCAGAAAGCCTTTCAAGAGCATTCACCACTGTGATAGTTTCAGCTACAACCACATGTTGTTTTTCCTTTCTTTTACTGGAATACAAAGTTATTAACAAAGAAGATGACTGCATTTCAGCTTGAAGGGATATCCCACATTAAACATTAATGTTGAAATTGTCATATAGTCTTTCAGGAGTAGGTTGCTTTCACCTGACCAACTTAGACAGTTTCACTAACATCCCTTCATTTCAAACTCTTCCGTCTGATTAAAACATCTGTATGTTGAATCTTATTTTTTTTCCTACACAGGCACTCCAAGCGCCAGCCTGCCATGAGAACATGGTGAAAGTAGGAGGATATATCCTCGGGGAGTTCGGCAATCTCATCGCAGGAGACCAGAGATCCAGGTATGGCACCAGCCATCCACGTTGTCAAGTTAGCTAAGAAAGTTCCAACTCTCAATGTATATTCTTAGACTAAGTCTTCAGATGCATTGTTAGAATGTTGCTTAAGACATTTAATATCACAAATTTATTTAACATTGATTGTGTGTCAAGTACAGTATCCTGCCAAATTTTTCAGTTCTTGTTATATTTATAGATTATTTCATTGTCTATGCGAAACCCAGATTTTTCATGTTTTTGTAGAATGTTTGGTCAACATCGCACCAGAATTTTGCCCATTGCAGATTATTATCTTGCAACACAACATTTGAAAACTATAGATACATGTAGGATGTCATCCTTAAATACGGGAATGGAACCTCAAACAACACTTAAGTGCCATACAAACTACATTTACATTATAGGTTTCACACAGGCACAGTACGTTCTGTGAACCTGCTGGTAAAACTACATGTAGCACGTCGGCAGAACGTACATGTATTGCACCTGCACAAAACCAGCAATGCATTGTGCATACATCACTTGGGCAGAACATCTCATATAAGGTCGTATTCGCCTATATACAAGGTTAATATCCTGTCTATATATATAGTTTCCAAATGTTGTGTCGGAAAAGGTATCGTCTGCAACAGGTAAAATTCTGATGCAACATTGACCAAACAACTATGCATGAAAAGGTCAAAGGTACGAATTCTCCCCTGATTACCCACATGTTGTTCCTTACAGCCCGATGGTCCAGTTCCAGCTGCTGCACTCCAAGTACCACCTGTGCAGCGCCCCGACCAGGGGACTTCTCCTCTCCACATACATCAAGTTCATCAACCTGTTCCCAGAGATCAAGGGCCAGCTCCAGGACGTAAGCACTGTTCTCATTCCAGTTGATTTTTAGGCCACACCAATTTAATTTGTTGTTTCTCGGATTTTTAAAGAAAAAAATATGAAGTGACAGGGCGAAATAATAAAAAAAATAAAAAAACAGGCCAAGGCACCCCATGATAGCCGAAAATGTTACAATATGAGCCATAAAGTGAACACACCAGGCTGGTTTAAAGTTAAAACAATAGATTTTGAACTTTTAATGAAACAAAATTGCATTGTTACATTGAAAAACTTTAAGAACTAGGAAGAAAAGGACTTTCTTCAACCGTTGGGGCCAAAATATGTCTGTCATTGAGCATTTGCATTTAATTTAGAACCCCCCAAAATTTTTTTTTCTTTTTTTGTAAATCAGAAAAAAATGGACAGGGCAATCCGAGAAGCAACTAATTAAATTGGTGTGGCCTAAAAATATAAAATATAACATCATAATCAGACAAAGGCTCAAATAAGCAAGCAAACAAACATTGAAATAACTGGGGAAATTCTAAAGAGAGAAGGCAATATTCAGAAGAAAGTTGACATAAGAACTTAAAGAAGAGGAGGTCAAAAGTTTCAAAGACAGCTAACACTAAGTGTTTCATAGTCCTTTTGTATACAGCAACAGTTTCTTTTCCTGGACTGCAAAATTATGGAACTCCCTCCCAAACACATGCTTTCCTTCGTAGTACAACCCTTTCAAAATAAACATTCACCGCCATCTTTTGGCATAGTCATACATCTGTCGTATCATCTACATGTAGCTCAATGCCTAGAAATGGTCATTAAATTTGTCTTTGCATTGAGCAAAACCATGAAAAAAACATTCATGTATTTTACAACTACACTAAAAATTGCACTTGATCTCCAACATGAAGTTTTGTTGTTTAAAGTATTACTTTGTGATTGTCCCCACAGGTGTTGCGGAATAACAACAACCTGCGAAATGCGGACGCAGAGCTGCAGCAGAGAGCAATCGAGTACCTACAGCTCAGTACGGTAGCCAGTCAGGACGTCCTGGTAAGTTATTCAGTCAGAACATCGGCAGAACATACCGTGCCTGCTAAGTAGATTACGCACAGCACTTCCACAAAACATATATTTTACTTTAAGGCATTGTATGTGAGTACTTAGGTTCACATGCATCTATAGTTTTTCAAATGTTGAGTCGGAAAAGATATCATCTGCAAAGGGGCCGCAAAATTCTGATGCAACGCATCAATGTGTGACGAAAAAGTTTTTAAACAATCCCTCAACTATGACAAAGTTGACAAAAATGTTGGGAAAAATACCTAACATACAAAACAGCCAAAGGATCACCAAATACTGCTCTCAACCCCATGATTTGCATCTCAAAATGTGGGCAACTGCATTTTTAAAACTTGAAAATTTGCTTCCAGAGCCCCCTAGGATTGCGAGCACTCTCCCCAAGTTCAATCATGAACCTGGCCTGACTGAAAAAAAAAATTGAGCTGGGTAGAGCCCTGGAATGGACTAGTGATCTACTGTTCTGCAGCCAACCAATGATGATGCATCTGAGTTCAAGAGATTCCATTTCTTTGTTTCTCCAGGCGACAGTTCTAGAAGAAATGCCCCCCTTCCCTGAGAGAGAGTCGTCCATCCTGGCCAAGCTGAAGAAGAAGAAGCCCAACGTCTCAGACATCGAGGTGGTGAAGGAGGGCAAGAAGTCATCCAACCCCCCCACCCTCAACAACAGCGCAGCCAACACACCTGAGGCAACACCTGCATCAGCACCTGTACCTGTCATGGCGGCTGCACCTGCTGTAAGTCAAGGCGCACCTGTTGGTTTGAATAATACTTTCTGTTTAAGTTTATTGATTGTTATTTTTCATATGTTCTCTATTTACCCTTATTATTGTTATTATATAATTATTATGCTTTTAATTGAAATGGGGGAGGACTAGAATAAGCCCTAAGGCTTTTTTCTCCTCCAGCACATCCATTTTGTCTAGGTTAATTATTCTATATTCTGCTTTGTTTGATTAGTACATTCACTTACTGTATTGTTTTTGTTTTATGTATGAGCAAATAAAAATAAACAAATAAACAAATGTTTGTGTAGACAGACAAAGTTAACAGCATATTGGTGGGGCCTAGGAAAAAATGTTGTGTTTCCTGTTCCAGTCCTGAAAATGTTTTATCTATTTTTTTACTTTGGCAATCTCTAGTGATCCAACTTATACAATACAGTTTAAGAAAGTAAAACTTGCAGGAGCAAACTTAATAATATATTTTTAATTGTCAATGTTTTAAAAACGACTGTACAACGTTTCATCACTCAGTTGTCAGATCATGGAGCTCAAAAAATTTATGACCAAGGAACATGGGTCCACAGAAAAAGGCTAGGGTCGGCAGTTTTCCTGGGGTTGGGTCGGAAAACAGGAAACATTTTTTCCCTAGAACTGACGGGCAGAATGACAGGTCAAGGGTCTGAAAATCTGGCCTGGATTCAGCAGGAATTAGAGGTTGACACTGGGGAATTCAGGAAGCAAGGGATTGCATATTTCCAGGAATCTCTGATTACTTGTTTCCAAGTCTGTTTTTAGTTAGCGTTTCCTGAGTGTTGCCTTTTCATCTTTCCCATTGAGATTCATGATTAGAATTAGCAAATTATTTTTCCAGGAGCAGTCTTTAAATGTACCTGACTAACAGGGATTTCCATCATATGGGTAAACATTGTAATTATATACTAAAGATAACTCAGCGTGCAAAATACATGGTTGCCCAGTTGCCCCAGGCAACCAAATTTTACTTGGGGCAACCTATTTTTGAACCCAGGTAGCCCAGTGTGCTACCTGAATTTTAAGAATGCCCTTCCCCCAAAATCATGCCCACTTGGCTTGCTCCACTGTATCTGGCAGATGCTTTTTGATTTTAGGTATTAATGGCTATTACTAGAATCATGTATGTAACATTACTTAATTTGAGGAAAGTAGTAACTTATAGGTGGGGCAACCTAAAATTCAAGTAAATACTTGCAGGCATTTTTAACAGGTCAGTCATTGTTGTTATTCTCCCAGCCTGTCCAGAGTGCCTCTGATGACCTGCTTGGTCTGAGCGCCGGTCCGGCCGCCGCTGCGCCCATTACCAACAACTTCGCAGCCCCGGCGTCGTTCGCGGCTCCGGCGGCGCCCGCGGGAGGTGGCGGACTGCTCGTGGACGTGTTCGACACGCCGCCTGCCCAGAACAACGTGAGCTCAGCGTTAGCGCCACAAGCCGAGGAGAACTTCTTTAAGTAAGTGTGGCAAAAGTGTTGTTCTTTTGACATGTTTCATTGTTGTTTTCATTGTATAGACCACACTGACTCAGGGCTCTAGCCAGATCAAACTGTTTTTTCCGTTAGCCCAGTTTCTTGATCCGATCTGGGGTAGTGGAGTGCCATAGGTGCTCACAATCTTAGGGGGCATGCTCCCACAGGAAATTTTGGATTTTCAAGCCTTGAAAAACGCAATTTCCCCCATTTGAGAGGCAAATTATGGGGTGGTTGTTAGTGGCCCTTTGCATTTTTTAATACTAGTTTTACCCAAGATTTTTGTTGATTTTTTAAGTCAAGGTTGACGGATTGGTTTAAAAATTTTCCATCACATGCCACAAAGTTTGGGCAGTTGACGGAAAAACGGGCGCTGGCTAGAGCCCTGCATTGACTGTAGAGAAAGTTTGATTTCACTGACAATGTTGTACACATCAAAGAAGAAAGCTGCCTCGAAGATAGAATGAAGTCTGAGTCCAACCAACGAAAAGGATTTCACAACTTGAAAAGAGTTCTTGACAAAACAAACAGAAAATGAAGTGTAAAACCATTCTTCGTTGATACTGTAATTCCTGATTTGTTCACTGTACTGATAAGTTCACTGTTTTCACTGTCTCTTGTGTAAAGTGAACTTATCATTACAGTTAACAAATAATTCCTGGATTTTCTTGTTCCTGCACTTGTCACCACCGTGAACATATAGTTACGTGAACATGTCCATTTTTCTCAGACCGTGAAATTTTGCTACCGTGAACATAAAGTGAATTACAGTAACCCCATGTATGTTACGACTGCACTTGTTCCAATAGTGCGCCCGCCGGCGAAACTGCGCCCTCCGGTGACACCCCTGCTTCGGAGCTTGACGGAAGGTCTCAGTACTTTGACATATCTTGTAGACTTAGCCGCACAAATTTAAAAAGGAAGGAAAAAAAAGGCGTGTGGTGCTTCCAATCCCTGATAATTTTTAACAGACACTCTCTAATTTGCTGGGTCTTTCCAAGCTCCTGCAGTGGCTTTTGTCTAATGTACTTTTTTTCTGTCTTCTTGATTGAGACCATTGACAGCCATGGTATGGTGTTGGACAATGATTCTGATACATGTACCGCTTTCTTTAAATTTTTAACGTCTCTTTAAGTGAAAATGTTTACTTTTGATATGTGAATTGTCTCCAGATAAATGAAGAAAATTGTGCACATTGCATGGATCATTAGCAAAAAAGCTACATGTACATGATTTCACATGCTGTTGACTTACATGATTGTATATTATTGCTTTTTGCACCATCACAAAGAATGCAATCTTGTGTACAATTGAGTAACTCTGCAAGCTTGCTGATGAAAGTGTTTTTTTACATTTTGTTGCTTACACATTTACACAAGATAAAAAGATGTTTTGTTGTACTTGATTTGATTTATTGGGTCATTTTCAATGGAATGATTTAACTACTGTATTGCTGTGATTAACCATTAACATGATCCTGTACATGCAAATGGAAGAAAAGGCATTGCCACATGTGGTGGACAAGGGGGAATTCAGGAGGCCAAGGATTACATACTAACCAGAAGTCTGAAATCTACACTTATATCGTAGTTCTTCTTACATGCTTATTCTTGCAGTTGGCTGGTTTTTATATAGATTTTGGATTGGGATCCTTTGGATTTAATTCTTTTCCTGATTTAAATCATGGTTACAGTTCCAGAAAATGCCTATGAGAGTGAAAAAAGATTTACTGAATTGTGATTACATGTAGTAACTGTATCTGACTGGATTATCATAATTTTCCCGTCAGGTTTGCGATTAAGAACAACGGTGTCCTGTTTGAGAATGAACTCCTGCAGATCGGGGTCAAAGCAGAGTACAAGGGCAACCTGGGTAAGCCAACACATACAACAGTCAACATGTTTAGATTAATCATTAGTGCTGCATAGAGCTGTGTACCGGTACGCAGTACCGATACTGTACCGGTAAAATTGATTAGGTACAGGTCCAAAATACCTAATCCATCAGTACCGGTACTGTACCTAAACAATTTCACACCAATTTTATGCCTATTTGTGACCTCAAATGTGTAAATAGCTGGTTAACAATGGGTCCCTGTGTAAGGACAGTGTGTTCATGAAAAAAACATATATATATAGCCTATATTTTATCTGAGCATTCGCCATAAACAAAGAATAAACCTTAACTATCAAGTTTATTTATGTTTTTTTTTGTTATTGAAGGAGTTCAGAAGAGCATATTAAAATTGGTCGAATTGTTCAGGTACAGGTTCAGGTCCGGACCTGTACCTAAACCTGTGTACCTGTACCTGTACCTGTACCTAAAATTTGTTTAGGTACACAGCTCTAGTGCTGCATACCGGTTCACTGGACTTGGATCCGGACTTGTAAGAATGTTTAGGTTCAAGTCCAAAACAATCTAAAAGTCAAGAACCGAGTCCGGACTTATTACCATAAAAGACCATTTCACATACCCTTTTTGTTTCCATAACCACCTAAAACCTTCCATAGATTGCAAAATCTTTGCTGCAAAAAAAAGAAAACATTGCCATCGGGTATCGTCAAGTACTGGCCTCCATGTTATGTGGCCAAAGTTTCACCCAGACAACATTGCAAGGTTGCCAATGTGCAATTTTGTATATGCCATGGATTTAGGTCCGGACTTACTAGTCCAGAACTGAACCTAAACCTCTGGACTTGAATCCAGACCTGAACCTAAATGTGGGTTTAGGTATGCAGCACTATTAATCAGTGATTGTAAATAGAGCAGTTTACCTTTCACGGATTGAATGAACGGTTAGTACTGTATGTGTTAAATCAGGGGGGACATTTCGAATAGAATGCCGTTCTAGAATCTTGAATGTTATTGTTAATTATAGTGACCACCTGTCCCCTGAGTAATGTTCTTGGTCAGTTTTAGCTGTAGTCTTTTCAATAAAACTAACTAAAGTACCATTCATTTTATAGTTTTGCCCTATCTGAGGTACTGTATATAATGTTATTGCTTTTTACAATTGCATTTTGACAGAGGAAGCAAGTGATAAATATTTGTTGTTGTTGTTGTTGTGTAAACAGGACGCCTGGGCCTGTTCTATGGAAACAAGACGTCGTACCCCTTCCAGTTCTTCACTCCCACCGTGTCTTGTCCAGGAGAGCTGGCCTCTGATATCCTTTCACTCATACGTACACCCCTGGTTGTGTACATGTATGTAAGAACAATTGTCTGCATCTGGAACAATAAAATCTTACTGTAAGAATAAGATTCTGGAAGTATAACCAATGTTAACTTTATAACCCTAACCTATAAGAAAGATAATCTTACTGCAAGAAAAAGTGTGATGAGAAAAAATTGCTTAATTCGTGGACAAAATCTCTTTCTTGCATACAGAAAAATTTGCTTCCAGGAAAAAATCATTTCTGTGTGGAAGAAAAAACAAGAACCCAAGAAATTTTTGGTAGTGTATCTCTTGCAAGAGAACCAAAGATGCAATGAACAATGTTATAAGTTGCAAAATCTTGAAATGTATGAACCATTGATTGTCACCAAATGAAGAATTATTGTGGTGGTAGATGAATGAACCCTATTGGCGCATACATGTACGTTCTGTATATTAAAGGCCTTGGTACAATCATCATATGAGTAAAAATTTCTCACCTAAGTGCTGACGTTTTGGTGTCTATCAGACACCTTCCTCAGAGCATCTGACTGGAGTTCTGCTTTTACCGCTATATGTAGCCAATATAGGTGGTGCTCTTGCGGCGAGAACACAATCCCAAATGTGAAACGTCAGCACTTAGGTGAGAAACCTTGGTTGTGTAAAAGTAAACTCCTGTATCCTTTGTTGTGTTGTGTTTTGTTGCTGAGGTTTTCCTTAACCACTGAGCACCGTTGAATGTCCAGACCAAACCCCTCGACGTGAACACAGTGGAGGGAGGAGCGCAGGTCCAACAAATCATCAACGTGGAGTGTATATCAGACTTTGTGGACGCACCCGTCCTCAGCATTAAGTTCAGGTATTTGTTTTTTAAGGGTTGTTTAGACTTTGATTAAAAGCATGCAGTTTATGTACAAGGCCACAAGAAGTAAATTATATGGACGACATCTGCACATATTAATTTGCCTGTATTTTAAACAAGAATGCATTTTATAAAAGCTGGTCGGGGGCTAAGATGGGAATAGCTGGTTGGGTGGTATCAGACAATGCATGACTCAAATTATTGGTCATGTCTGTGACTCGAATTGGAGTAAAGCTAATGCTAGGGGAAACTTTGCAATAGGGTCAATAAAAAAACAGGAGTGCTAGACAGGCCCAATGAATAAAACAAGCATATTAACAACAGACTAAACACAGATGCAAATTACATGTACCTTTTGACACCCAACCATTTAACCTGAGGGAAAATGACACTCAGTGCCCCCAGCAAAAAAAAAGAATACATTTTGTTCCTCTCCAGCAATGCTTAACATGATCAAAACAAAAGTCGTCAATGTGCAAATGTACTTGTAGAAGTGAAAGAAGTGACATAGCCATAAGTGTATGTGTTTTAGAAGAGACCAATCTGATGAAACTATTTTGTTGTTTAATTATTGCTCCCCTCCCCTCCCCACAGTTACTCAGGCAGTATGCAGCAGATCAACCTGATGCTGCCTGTCATGTTGAACAAGTTCTTTGAACCCGTGGAGATGGACGCCACCACTTTCTTCAACAGGTGGAAACAGCTCAACAGGTAGGGAAAGGACATCACCAGTCAATGTCAGTGAGGGAATAGACTTATCAGGAAATGGCCTACGACCTCTCCCTAACTCTATGAAGCAAGTTTAAACTGTAATTTCCAACACAACGAATTGGACTCACCCAGATTTTCGACTGTGCAACTCCAGTCTTTGTCAAGGAATGAGCAATCCACTGCTTCCGTGACGTCACGCAGATAACGCACGTGACTCCGTGAGCAGTGGATCATAGGTTGCAGAAAGTCTGTGGCGCCCCCCGTCTCTATTGAGAGATGGTTGTAATGCCCTGATGTAGATAGCCTCTTTAATCCCTCGTGCAAAGAAGTCCGGTTCTGAGTCAAAGATTCTTGCTCTCCCTAACTCATAAACACCTCACAAAAAGACTGGAGTGGAGCATTCACTGCACACAGCTACAACTGTACAAATGTACCTGCACTGACCTGGATATTCTGCTGGTATTTCCAATCATTCTTAATGTTATGTTTTTCTTAGACCTATAGACTCTCATAGTCCTACATGTACAAACATTGTATGTCTGTGATACAATTCTTAATTACTTTGTCCCAGTTCTCATGTGTATTCGTCCATCTTTTCTTGTTGTCTTCGTTCCAACTGCTTTTCTTTCTTGCCAATCCTTCATTCTGCTTCATTCTATTCTTCTGTTTTCTCCAATTCAACTGCTGATCCCATCTCTGTCTGCTGCCTGAGAATGGCTTCCCTTTTCTTTGTCCTTCACGTTCTTGTCACGTGCTGAAATTTTTGTAGACGGTAAGGCGTGTAGTAAGTACATGACTGTAGTATATAGGGCTGTGATAAACCGCTTATAACAGTAGGAAGGTGTACATGTACGCTACCGATAGGGAAAAACATTCTCAAAACCATCCTGCCATGCTTTCCTACATGTAACACCCCCTTTTACACATTTGGCATGCAAGAAACAAGTGTTTGTTGCCTGTTAAGATTTTATGTCCAAGAAAAATCAACTACAAAAAGTCTAATTTACAAATGTATGATACACTGTACGTATGTATGTAAGGGAATGAAGGATGTTCATTTGCATGAATTGTTTATCTAATCTTTCTAAGATCACAAATTAAAAGTTTTTGCATCAAATGTGACAATTTGCATAAAACACAAATTACTGTGTAGCCTTGTACGCTTTACATGTCAATGGCAAATAGAATGAAATGGCTTTAATTCAACTTTCTCATTTATGCACAAGTGTTCAAACCATAATGTTTGTATTATACAAAAATAATAAATCATGAAACTGGATGAATCCTCTGACTCTGAGAATTTGCCCAGTTACTTGATTTACAGTGTACATGTATTTTGTCTTGCATTATGTTCTACCTGGATGTTTAACCTTCATCCACACATCATGATGATATTTGTGTTGTTCCTCCCCAGCCCTGGCCAGGAGGAGCAAAAGATTTTCAAGGCTACGTTCCCAATAGACTCGGATACCTCCAGGACAAAGGTACTCATCTCATGTTTCGTTTATGTTTTCGCACAAATTGTAAACCGCCTTTAGGAATATCGTGCCAGTTTTAAACAGTTTAGGTACTAGCTACTTAAGGCCAGATTGTAAGGTTTGAACCACTCACACCGGGAAAGAACCCTACTCTTTTCAGTAAGTGTGGTGAGATCTTTAACGTGCTTGAGGTGTGGCTCTCCCAACCATTCACACTTATTGAAATGAATGTGACTGGATCAAACCTTATAGTCTGTTCCTATGCAGGTTGTACTTACTAACTGGACCATTTATCTGGTAACTGGTGCTGTAGAAGACACCTTGTGGTATTGGGCCACATTATGTTGCAAGTTGTAGGACAATTGGGGGGGGGNGGG